AATATGTAACAACAATTGCGATTGAATTGTCTAATCACCAAAAAAAAGAAAAAAAAATATATAATTTGTATAATTGTATCAAACAACAATTATATAAAAAAGATTAAAATATATATTTAATATTTGGCTAGTACATATTTATCTCATTAGAATAGAATGTAAAAGGATAATTTTTTTAAAAAATCTCTAAAATCTACTACGATGATTGCAAAAGATCAGATGAAACGAAAGTGATAAATCAAATTATGTTTATTAAAAATAAATAAATAAATAAAACCTTGCCACCAGTTGTAGATTCTTCTATATGGCAGTCTAGAAAAGTGGAAAACAAAGAGGCGTAAAGGAATGAGAGAGAAGAAAGAGAACCCTGAGTGGGAAAGGGAGAGGAAAGAGAAAATATGCTTACGTAATTGTGTAAAAGAATGGTGTAAAATACACAACCTTTTTATACATTGATGATGTGGTAGTGTATTTTAATAGACTATTAGAAATGAAAAAAAAATTACAAATTATATGTGACAGTGTATATTTTACACAAAATGATTTTTTAATGTACCTCTAGTGATGTTCTAACAATACTTTCATCTAGGTTTGTGCATTAACCATTGGATGTAGAGTATAATGACATCAACAGTAAGGTCCAACAATTGAGAATGCAAGTTCATGATTAGAGCTCGTGTCAAATTATTGGGGCACGAATCTTCCTAAAATTCCCTTGCTATCACAACTTCATTTGGGCTAGAATGTCATCTTCATAGTCCCACCCCATTTTGATAGGGGTATTTTCGAAGCATTTTGAAATGTAAATGTAACATAAAAAATTCTGTGTGTTAAAAATGTACCATCCTTAAAATGTTATTTGCACCACACTCGAATAGAGATTGTTATTGGATTCTTAGCAAAATACTCAATAGTATGTGACAACAAAACTAGTGAACTTCTGCAATCAACTACACTGAAGAGTTTATACTTTTGGGCTTGTAATATTTGGTTAGCCTGGACTAACTATCTAGCTTGTAATTTTCTTGGTTTTTGTAAAATTTATTTACCTTTCAAAAAAAAAAAAAAAAAAGGCACTGAAGAGTTTTCCACTCTTTATTATTGCAAGCTGCATATTTGAATGCTGTTAATATCTATTTTTCTCATCAACCAAACAATATTTGAAAATTAAAAAAAAAAAACACACACACACACACACTTTGTTTACATTTTGCATCATCCATGACCACTGATATAGCACGCAAAGAATACTTATCTGTCTAATTTGCCCTTCATACTCCTTTTGATGAGTGAATTGTGATTTCTTGGCCATTTATTTAATTCTTTTTCATAGTAGATCATTAATTATATAGTTTCTTACTGAAGCATAAAAGAATGTCAATATATATATATATTTTGTGGGTAATTAGATTTTTGTAACTTTGTTTGGTGCGAAGAAATCATGTAATCACAGAAATATATATTGGATTTATATAACATTTCTACAACTTTCTAACACAGTAGGTTCTCACCATATATGATTTTGTTATATCTACAAGACTCCTAATTCTGTATATGATTCAATCAAAAAACTAAACAATCGCTTGTGTTGAATATTATCAATGTCATTTCTTCTTATAATAATGAGGCCATCTCTTACTGTATTTCCTTTTAATGCATTATTTATGTTTTTGAAATAAATATATACATATGGCCGGTATATGCAATATCTTCCTTGGCTATCGAGAATTGCCCATTTGGTCACATCACTGATAACATTATTGCTTATTAGACATCTAAATCTTCTTCCATCTTTATTTGGTGACAGATTATCACTGGCCTTGTCATTTTTAAATTTCAAATATGATATTGTAGCTTTGTTGAGAAGTTTCGAATCCTATGCTCATAGAGGTTGATTACACATATAAAGCATATTGTGTGTTCATCGTATGCACCGTTAAATCAAAGTTACTGCAAACTACATTACTATGCAACACTCATGCGAAATGATGTAACATTTATGCAACACATTTATATTGAATCCTATTGTAACAACTCTCACTTTAACTAGACATAATATTATCCGCTTTTGGTTCCCTGAGATCAGAGACTTTCCAAGAGGTCACCCATCCTGGTACTTAGGGCGGCCCCATATAATTTGGACCTTAGGCCAAAAAACAAAAAGTGACATTTTTAACAATATAAATAAAAATAGTCACAACTCACCAACAAAATATATATATATATATATATAAATATATAATAACAAAAGTTAATAAAACTAAAAAATAATAATAAAAAACCCATAGAATTTGATTTAAAAAATCCAAATTCAATAGTCCTACAAAATTTTCATATTGAGAGTATATAATGAGTATGGAGTAGAGAGGAAAGACAACTGTAAACTTGTAATGAGAGGGGGAGGAGAAGACTTGTTAAAAAAGAAGAAGATAAAAGATAAAAATATATATATATGGAAAGTTTTCGCTACTTCCCCAAACAAAATTTTAGGCTTAATATTAAATTTCTATATTGATTAGGATGTATTGGAAAACGTGAATAAGAAGTAGAAAAAGAAAAAAAAAAATTATATAAGATGTAAATCTTTGAGGCCTAATATTAAATTTATGTATTAATTAGAGTTCAACGAAATGAGAGAGAAAAGAGAAAAGAGAAAAAAAAAAGTTATTTTAGGATATAAATATTTGAAGGCTAATATAAAATCCCAACGAGGGAGGAGAGAGAAAAGAGCAAAAAAAAAAGAACAAGTTATTTTAGGATATGATATTTGAGAACTAATATAAAATCGAAATGAGAAAGGAGAAAAAAAGAGAAAAAAAAAAAGTTATTTTAGGATATAAATCTTTGGAGTTCTAATATAAATTTTTTGTATTCATTAGAGTTTAATAATATAAGGAAATAATTATAATATAACTTAATTAATATATGCAAATTTTAAAATTTTGGAGCCTTCTTATTGGTTGGAGCCTTAGGCAACCGTTCCGACAATATATAGAATTGTTTTGCCTGGAGAACAACCCCTAAAACGGAATAGCAAAGAAAATTTCATTTTAGTTGAGTACAGATTTGTCATCAATGAAGTTCTAATTCACTTTTTATAGCCTCTTTTATTAGGGTTTTGATCTGCTTGGTTAGAAATATGACTATTGATGCAGGAAAAACGTTTTCTTCTGCTTCTTCAGGTCAATTAATAAGAAGTTTGGACTGAAAATTTGGTTTGGTGAACAATTATAATTTTTTCAGGAACTTGTTTATGTTCAATTTTCTACAAAGCCGAAAGTTAGACAGGATGATACATTTAGGACTATATATGAGAAGGTGATCTAGGAAAGTAGGTTATGTTGTGACTCGTTGTTGCCATCGAATTTGAAAGTATGTTTAAGCTGTTAAGTAGAGTTGTCTCCCTGTCCTTTTAAATTCAATTCTTCTCCACTCTTATTTGATGTGAGACAAGATTAATTCTTTGAATTAATTCTTTGACATTTTTTTGTATCTTAACTCATAACGTCTTCGTTAGCATACCCTTGTCCACCATACCAGAGGCAAAACCTCATGGCCCAAGTCCTTTGTTGTCCATCTCAGATGTGGGACAAAGTGACAAACCCTTTGACATTCTCTTCCATCAGAACTTGCCCATCGGCAAAGGGCCCTGAATATGGTAACTTTTGTATAGATCCCTGGTGTGACACCACACAAGATACTAAAGTTGCTATTTATATGAATTAAATGCTCGTATGCATCTATTTGAAAAGTTTAAATTGTTAGATAGAGTTCTCTTTAAAGTTCAAGACGAGAAAGACCCCTCTAATTGAAGGTTTATTATTCCAAATATCAACCCTAAAATGTCATTGTCATGACAGTGGAAATAATTTAATTAGCCCGAAGATTTATTATTCCAAATATCAACCCTTTGAATTATATCCCGTTATAGTGAGACCAATTCATCAATTTCATGCACTCGATATCGGACTTTGCGAAATAATTCACAAACAACACATGTCTAAGACTCGGAAGTCATTTCCATTCTCTCTCAATTTTGTGTGATGTTATTAATGTGTTAAGCAAAAGGTGGTTTCATGGATCAAAATTAGCCAACAAGGCACTCACACCTATTTGGTAGTCTATTTTGTGCCTTTTCACTGCGTATTGGTTAACGAGCGATTAGAGATTGAAACGTGGTCCAACTAGTGACATGGCTCAATCTTATATATAGACTATTCACTTGATCGACTATTCACTTGATCTAGAGAAGGTGAGGAGGAAGGGTTGGTTTTTGGTGGTGCGGTGGCGGCCGGTGGTTGAGGAGATGTTTTTTTTTTAAGGATAAAATGATAAATTTTATAAAAAGAAAAGAGGAGGATAGCAATAGCTAACCAATACATGCAGTGTGGTTGAGGAGATGTTGCTGCCCGCTGGTTGTGGTGAGGTTAACGATCAAGAGAAGGTGGGGGAGAATGGTAAGTCCATATGTTTTTAAGATGTGAACATTTTTTAAGATGTGGTGGCAGGTTGTATTGGGTTTTTTTTATTTATAAAAATGGAGCAATTTTAGTGATGTTTTCCTTATATTTATATATATTATTTTATTTCTTTTATTTTATTCCAAGGCATGGTTTAATTTCCTTGTAAGTCCTTTTTCGCACAATTGGAAAATGTAGGGGTGTTTATTGACATGGTATATAATAGCGGTATTTTTGCAGTTAACTCTTTAATTAATTTATACACATATATAAATATCTTCTGATCCAAACAATAACAATAATGAAGATATTAATAGAAGTAAAAGTAAAAAATTAGTAGAATCGAAGCGACTTTATTAATAGTAAAAATTATTAATAAAATCAAAGCCAATAAAAGTAAATCCTAGAAATACATTCTTGTAACCTACCGTCAGTGCTCCCTCATATATATTTGTTTTTCTAAATTTCTACTTAGCCATATTGTGGCATATTAATTAAATTGGAAAGTAAATTTACTAAACCTAGCTAGGGCCTAATTGATCAGCAACGAGAACCCTTTCTGCATTTGAGTGCACCGGCGCTACTCGTCATCGCACCCACAAAAGAAGATGGTTTTGCACCCACGCTTGAAGCCCTACCAAAGCTTGATGAGGATGCACCACCCGATGTTGTGAAATATGCACCATTCAACATCAAGTCCCCATTTGACCTCCAATTCCAATTCTTCCATTCACTTTCTGGTGCAACCTCATGTTTGGTCACCTGCATATATAGGTCATAAAAATATATTCACACACAAATTTATATATATATATATATATGTATATATGTACATATATGAAGTAGTATAGGAGCTAGGGCACTTATAATAGGGTTTTCACCTCTTTGCTGTCTTTGTTATCTGATGCAAGAAATCTGTTGCCTTGGCTGTTGATGGTGGGGTTTGCACTTCCTCCAATGGCATACGTTCCCCAACGGGTGTAGTCATTGTTCACCACATGGAAGTAACCATGTCTACATCTGCGTAAGTAAAAACAACCATCTCAATCAAATCAAATAATATTTTCTTGGAGAAACACTAATAACAGTCGCTCACACTAGAGTTAGAGTAACTATATAGCATTTTCTACTTTACCTTGGCATTCTTTGAGTAAGGCCTTCACCAAAGTGATTGAAGGCAACAGTGACTTGCATGTTCTTGTCCTTAGTGAAGGAATCACTGTGGCCCAAAAGCATGGCCTTATCATGGTTGCTCATGTAATTGTTTGAAAGGGTGATGGCAGTGGATGCAGCAACGACATCAATCAACCCATCAAGGCAGTTTGACAAGGTGCAATGGTCCACCCAAATATTGCTCGCTCCGAAGATGTTCACCCCGTCACCGTCCGATAAGCCCCTATGCCCGTAGTGGTCTGGGGAGTCCCTCACCATAGTATTCCCTCCTTGCTTGCAATCATGTATGTTGATCCCATGTATAATGATATTATTCACGGACTGTATGGTTATGCATGGACCACCAGCAATGTGGACGTCAGCTCCCCTGCCGTCGATCGTCTTGAACGAGTTCATGATCAGCTCCGCCTGGAGTTTGATGGTCATGTCACGAGAGAAAACGATCCACAATGGCTTATCCTGAATCACGGCGTGACGGAGTGTCCCCGGCTTAGGGTTCACTGGGTGATCACCGGAGTCTGTGACCACGTAATACTTACCGCCTTTTCCACCCATGGCACCCTTCCCGAACCCGATTGCACAGTCGGCCAGCCGCTGGCGCTTCTTCTCCCAATGGGGGACACAGCGCCAGCAGTCGTCAATCGGATTGCCGGACCCACAAGGGCCCAAATTCCTCCTAGTGGCATTAATAATACTACTGCATAGAAAAAATGTCACACATTATAAAAAATAAAAATAAAAACAAATGGAATGTGAGGTATAACAGTAAAAATTATCAAAGCACTGAATGTACTCGATGATAGATTATGGGGGTGAAACCCGACACTACTATTACCACTAAATATATATATATATATATTCATATTGCTAAGACTTAAGAGGTGGAGCCACTTACTTTTGTACTTCTTGTGCTACTAGTTCAGGGTCATGAACTGGTGAGGAGGCAATGAGGGATGGAGTGAGGACAGAGAAGAGGAGGATAAGAGAGAGTGAAAGAATTGCCATTGTTGGCTCTTTTTCTCTCTGGAGACTGGGGGTAGTGAGAGAAACTTTTAGAGAGAGTAGGAAGGGAGAGATGAACTAAGTGATGGGGTTTGTAAAGGGATAAAAAAAGCTTGCGAAATGGCGAAATTAAACTAAGCATGTGGGGTCCATAGCTGTCCTATATATATATATATATATATATATATATACCGTGATGAAGTTGATTGATACGCATAAAACCAATTATATGTCTCTCAAATTAACATTTTTATTAATCTTTGATTTTTTAACTTTTTAAGGTGACATGCATTGTCTCATTTTCAACAAATTACTATATTGTCTTTTAAATTCTAAATATATCCAATACAACTTAATTTTTTTTAAAAAAGCTTGAAAGGTAATTATGAAAATATTGTATTTAATTTGTTTGACTTTATAAACTCCACAAATTTGGAACATAATATATATTATTTTCGATTAGGAAAATAATATTATTGACAAGTTTAATACCCCAATTTAAAATCGACAGAGATAAAAATATGACGTGGTTATTCTAAAATTTCAACTTATCCATAAAATAAGTCCCTTCCCTTATCTTTTAGATTTTCCATAATTTCCTTATATTTTAGTTTTCCATATATAGGCGTATCATTTTTTTTTTAATTATTTTTCTTTTGGGTACAAAATTGAGAACAAATACTACAATGTTTTTACAATTTTGCAATGCTTTGCAATTTTTTATTTATTTTTTTAAAATAATCCACTCCTTGTGTTTGTTTCTAGGAGTCAAATAATAGATGAATATTAATAATCAAATACACAATCTTTTTATATATAATGAGAACATATACTTTTTTAGGAACTTGTTTATGTTCAATTTTCTACAAAGTGATCCAGGAAAATAGGTTATGTTGTAACTCATTGTTGCCATTGAATTTGAAAGTATGTTTAAGCTTTTAAGCTATTAAGGGCTCGTTTGATATAATTTTTGCTTCTACTTTTACTCTGAAGAGGAAGAGAAGCAGAAGTTAGCACTTCTATCTGGCTTATAATTAGTGTTTGGAAACTGTTTTTTAAAAGAGTTTTTATGGATACAAGACTTTTTTTTGTTTGTTTGGCACAACATTTAGTAAAGCTCTTTTACTATTGAAATAACGATTTTGTCCTTGAAATGATACATTGCTGGTCACGTCTTCAACTGTGAAAGAGATATTGAGATAATTAATAGATCATCAAAATAAATATGCAAAGCAAAATTGCTACTAGTGTTCTTTAAATAAGTTACGCACACCATAATCAAAAAATTGATATTTGGGATACAACTTATCATTAATTTTATATTTTTAGAATACAATCTTAATTTTTTAATGATAAATAAGGAAGCATCCACATTCAACTTAAATCGGTCAAAGGCACGAATGAGGCTGCCAATGTTGAGCCTGAATACAAGCACTAGGTTCTAACAAAGTTGCAGCAAACATATTAGCTGGATGGAACTCATGTAAATGAAAAACTGCTCTATCCATTATAGCAACTGGATCCCATAAAGGTCCACATAAAACCTCTGATCAAATGTTATATCCATTATATTCCTACTTTTCCAAATCTGCCAAGAAATAGAATATGCAAGACTAAACAATTTGGTAGATGTTGGAACACCACTCCATATCATTACTCAACCATTCCCACCTTTGATATCAAGCACCATCACAACTATCAACATTTAGCCTAAGTGGTGTGAATCTAAAACTATAATGAAAAGAAAATCAATTCACTCTTCTTTCTGTTAATAGTTATTTCTTCAAAAAGGTGGTGGGAAGTGAAAAGAAAATCAATTCACTCTTCTTTCTATTATAGTTATTTTAATCAAACAGGTGGAGGGAAGTGAAAAGGAAACCAATTCACTCTTTTTTTTATATTTCTTTCATCAAACATATGGTGTGCACCAAAATTTATAATGAAAAGAAAATCAATTGCCATTGACATGGTCTCTAAAGTGGATCGATTGTGATCAAGAACCAAGCTAAAAACCATGTAAGAATTTAAGAAATAGGAAAAATAATAATGTAGATTGAATCCTAATGTGAAGTTAAGAATTCAAAATCATAATAGTCTACCTGTACAAACCAAACTCAAACATATTTTTAATCTGACTTCATCAATTTAACACTAGAAAATTCAAAAGGCATTTCAATTTCATGTTTGTAGCCAATATGAGAATATTGTGGCCGGAATACAAGCCATAATCACCGGAATCATTAGAAATAGTCGGGTGAGAAAATCATTGCCGGTGTCGAGAGATAATCAACGGAATCGTGAGAAACTAGGCAGCGTGAGCAAAAGTTGACGTCTTCAAGAGAGAATCGCCGAAATTAAACAAAAAAGTATTGCCGAAGTTGGTGACATGATGTTCTCCCAAATTTGTGGTTGTGGATGGTCATCCTTCCCAAGTGAATGCCGCCGGTGGATGTGAGCGTTGGTGCTATCGTCGGAAAAAACTTAGAACTAAAGATTAAAAGAAATCGCCGGAGAAAACAAGAGCAGAAAAGGTACATTCGTGAGTTGGCATCAATGGCAATGGTTTTGCTTGGGACATGATTGGAATAAACATTTGTTTACTCATAAAACAAAGGGCACGATGGGAATTATAAAAGTTTCATTAAAATAAGAAACGGCTTCCCGAGTTTCTCTTGGAAGAGTGTTTTCCAAAAGCTGCCCCCTACCAGCTTCGCCTAGAAGAGCATAAAAATGTCAAAAGCTCTTCAGCTAAGCAATCCAAACACCTGTGAAAATAGCTTTTGGACTTTGAAAGTTAAAAATAGCGTTTAAAAAGTCAATCCAAACATGCCCTAAGTAAAGTTGTCTACCTATCCTTTTAAGTTCAATTCCTTCACATTCTCATCTGATGTGAGACAAGATTAATATTGCACTAACTTCAATTACACTTATCGTACTTTGTCCAATTTTAAAAAAGACTTTCCCACATTTGCAATTTGCAAAAATTCAGTTAAAACCCTTGTTTTTTCTAACACAGATTAGTTTCTCTCTCAGTCAACGGTCAAAGATAGTTAAAGACACTTTTTTACGGACATCAACAAAAACTTAAATTTTACTACTCAAATTACCCCGGTTTTGTTTGTCTACACAGCGTATCAAAATCCACCTCAACAGTCATGTTTGGATATTGGGACAGATAAAGGGGTGCAGCAGCAAAAACATACTGTTTCAGGCTGAGGCTGCTGCGGTGGCGGACAGACAGTTTCCGCTGCTACGTTCTTCCGATCCTCTATTTCTCTCTCTAAAAAATCTCTCAGCAGGCCCCTTTCTCTCTCTAAATTCTCTCTCTCTTTGTACCAGAATTGTGGTTCTCTTATATATATATATATATATATTTGTCTCACCATGTTACAAACCCACATCACCAGAAAGAAACGACCGGCAGTAGATGAAAATACGATGAGCAGCGAGTGTGATTGGTCGCATTCCTGTGAGAAGTGGGTCTTGTTCTCACCGGCATGGAAAGGATGGCTGCTGATCGGCGGTTCTGTTCACCGTCTGTAACTCTTCAAAAAAATAAAAATAAAAATAATTGCAGATCCCCTAAACTCTATCCCAATAAATTTGTGAAAGGCAATTTTTTTCACAGGCCAATCAGTTTCCCCCCACCGCAATTTTTCAAAGTTCAACCCAAATGATCTTTTTGAGATCATTGTATTAAACTTGCCACTGTGTATGTATTTTGCTACAATTCTGAAACAAAACCCATTTGGGATGTATGTGTATAAAGTATATAGTAGAAATATACTATTTACTTATATGCATATGTACTTGCATGTGCTTAATTTTGATTTAATTCTGAAACAAACCCATTTGGGAGTGTATATATATATATATATATATATATATATACACACACACATCTGTATGATTATGCACAACGTGTACTTTAGAAGGTTTACTGGATAGAGAAAACAAAGAGAGAAGATGAGAAAATAAAGAGAGAAGATGTCAAACACGACCGATGCCGTTCAGTTCTCTCCGTCCCGCTCTTGCTCGCCGTAAAAGAGCAAATCAGTTAAAAGTGAGCTGGTTTGTTATTGTTATTTTCTAAAACAACAAAGGGTAAATTAGTTATTATATTTATTTATTTGTTTTTGTCAAAAGATAATGTCTGACGAGGTGTGATTGAATTTTTACAAATGTGGGAGTTCTCTTTGAAGATTGGACAAAGTACAGGGGGTGTAACTGAAGTTAACCCTTAATACTTTGACAATTTTTTTTTATTTATTTTAACTCGTAACGTCCTCATTAGTATACTCTTGTTCACCATACTAGAGGCAGACTCGGATAGGGAACTTCCTTGTCAACGCTTCTTTTGAAATCGCATGGTCCAAGACCTTTCCCGTCCATCTCAGATGTGAGACGAACCCTTTGACATTCTCTTTTATCAGAACTTGTCATCCGTACCAGTGTAGAGACCCTAACCGATAACTTTTGTATAGGTGCCTGGTATGACACCACATAAGATACTGAAGTTGCTCTGATACCTCTTAGATGAATTACATACTCGTATCATCTATTTGAAAAGTTTAAATTATTAGATATAATTGTAATAAAAGTTAAAGATTAGAAGACTCCTCTTAACGCGTATTCTGTTGAAAATATCAAGATGCATGTAACTAGCTAAAAAATCTCATTAAAAATGGGCTTCACTAGTGACTGCCCAATTGATATTGCTAAGGTTGATCTCAAGTTCCCTTGGCAAAATTTTAATGGGAACGTGATCGAGTCAAGTTTAGTGGACAATGGGTGGTTCCTCGATGATGGATTGGTCATGAGTTGTGACTTGTGATCATGTAGTTTAGTTCTGTCAATCTGTAGTTGTCCAGCACATGATTGTATCCTTAAATGTCAATGCCATGACACTGAGAATAATTTAATTAGCCCCACTAATTGAAGGTTTATTATTCCAAATATCAACCCTCTAATGGAAGATTCGAATTATATAGTGAAACTAATTC